TGAACCCTTGCCTGGTGGTTAAGACACTTCCCTGGAAATTAGGAAACATGGTTTGCAGTCCCTTTTAGGCAGAGGACAAAATTGAACCAGATTTATGCATCTAACTCCCTTTGAGATACAGACCTTAGATCACACCCTTCTCCTTAGCATTTTCTGCTAGCTAGTTTAAACAAATCCCTGCTCACCCTGCTGGCTTTTGTGGATCCCATTCTTAGGCACCTAACCCTCCCTATATATTATGTAGGGAATCCTTGCACTTAGTGCAGGGCTGTGAATTCAGTTTAGTGGAAGGGTGCCTAAAGTGAAGCGTTGCAATGCTTAGAATCTACCCCTGGGAGTTTAGCCTAAGAAGTGCAAGATCAGAGTGAAAGACACTAATCTTCACTAAGGGCTAAATCCAATTTTAAGAAGCAGGGTATTCCTTTGTAATATAATGAATTCAAAGAGTAAAGGCCTCTAGTGCAAGGAATATTAGACTTTTATAATTTATTTTTGAAACGGAGGGGCTTTTCCCTTAACAATTATTTTCAGAGAATGCAACCAAAAACTAATGAGTATATTTGGAGTATAAATCCAAAAAAGGAGCCAGATGAAGAAGAAAAACAAAATTCTGGCACTGCAGCCAGGGCTTGATCCCATGCAGACATATACACATGCTTAATTTTATAAAGGTCAGTCATCTAAATGGTTTCATTTAATTTTGTATTTGAAGGACTGAGGCCTACCATGAGATTATTGTTTTTCCGGGTATCCCTGTACTCAGAAACCACGCCAGGTGTCAAAGAAGTAGTTTTGAAGTTGTCAGAATGAAAATTCTTCGCTAAAAAAATCATTAGCAGATAACATGTTCCAATTCCTCATAACCAGCCAATTTGAATTTTACAAATTCATTTTTAAAAACTCTCCAAATACATTTAAAAAGTCACTTCTTAGGCTGAGAATAAGCAAGAGTCATTCTCCACATAGGGCAAACATTCTCCCAAGAAGTTGCTAGAGTCTAAATTAAAGAATTTACAACGATAAACTGGCTGGGGATGATGCTGAACATTACCACAGCCGACCCCCCTTTTCCCACGCCATAGAAGGCCAAGTATGTTCTCCAAATTCCTCTTTTAAACTTTTCAGCAACAATGGCGTTTGTAATCACCCAAGCCACTGGTGTGGTTGGTTTGGGGGCTTTATTTTTCGTCTCAAATCCATTTAGAGCAGGAGCAGAGACTGATCACTGTAGGAGGAACTAGACACTAATGAGTGTCCATATGAATCGAAATCAACAATAGCTGCTAATTCCGCTGCAGTTTGTCTCTCTGCACACACAAGGGTGGGAAGAATAGAAGAAGGGGGAGGCAGGGGGCGTTTCTCAGAGGTCGGAATATAAATATTCATTTGCAAAAGGCTTGCTGGTCTTCCCAAGCTGGGCTAGGGAAGCAGGTGCAGGGGGAGGGCCGGGGGCTCCTCTGTGGGTTTTTGTCTGTATCCTGCAGACAGGAAGGGCGAGAGAGGGGGAAAGGGCTGTGCTGGGTGGGTAACAACAACGTGAGCGACAGAGGGGCCGATCCGAGCTGGAGT